TCTGGTGTCCAGAGCAACATATCCACAAAATGCATTCATTAGGAGTCCTCAAGGAGTGTTTGGAGAGTCCCACTGGATAATCCGTCCTCCTTCTCTTGTTAAAATGGGGATCATTGTGAAGATGAGTGCAGCTTGGATGAAGAGGCTACTCTGCACAGGGGAGGACTGAGGAGAGCTGAACGTCAGAGATGAGGCTGTGATCTGCTCAGAACCTGAGTGAGATTGTGTTTCACCATGTATCTGCAATAAAAAAAAGCAGATGGGGAAAGGTGATGTGTCAATGCGTTGTATTCCAAATGAAGAAAATATTCCTACAAGTAACAAATACATAGCTAGAGCAAACAATACGTTTGAGGGATAATGCTAACAGTACAAAAAAGACAGACCTGGCGAGGGTTCCAAAAGCGCAGAAGACAGGCCGTCCAGTGCGCCTGATGGCGGCTCAGCTCCAGGAAACGGTCCATCCCAGCTTCTGCACTGGTGATCTGTCTTTGCTCATCATACTTCAAATACAGGCTCGAATGGAGGAGAAACATGCACGCACACATGTTATATATGTTACTGACTGTTTAATACTGCTGTTATGTCTGTTCTGAATCGCTTACCTGGGTACGTTGTTATAGTTCACCGATCTTCACTCGTAGTTGTTAGTGCACCACACGTTATCGAGATAACTTACCAATAACTACCGACTATGGTTAGGTGCTAAGAGCTGGTATGATATCATTGTTACTGACTGTTATGCTTCGTGGTGTTAATTATGTTCTTGTTCTGCATTGTTTATTAAATCAATATCTAGATAGATATAGTATAATATATTGTCTTGTATATATGAGATAGATACATAATATATATATAATATAAATGAGAATATATAGATATATATATAATATATATAGAGTATAAAAACTGACGATATATAGTCGTATATTAACTGTATGATATATATGTCATGTTACTGATATGATATAGATAGAATAGATATGATAATAATACGTTTACTGACTGTTTACTGTCTGTTTACTGTCTTTTACTGTCTGTTACTGACTGTTACTGACGGTTTGTCGTTAATGACTGTTTACTGTCTGTTACTGAAAAACTGTTTACTGTCTGTTCTGTCTGTTACTGACTGTTTACTGACTGTTACTGTCTGTACTGATGTTTAACTGACGGTTACTGTGACTGTTTAACTGACTGTTTACTGACGGTTACTGGTCTGTTACTGTCTGTTACTGACTGTATTATGACTGTTACTGTCTGTTAGACTGTTTTACTGACATTTTACTGACTGTTTTACGACGGTTACCTGCTGTTTATGACTTTTACTTGTCGTTCTGCTGTTTACTGGACTGTTACTGACTGTTTACTGTCTGTTACTTGTCTGTTACTGCTGTTACTCAGCTGTACTGTCTGTTATGACGTTTACTGACTGTTTACTGACTGTTTACTGTCTTGTTACTGACTGTTTTGACTGTTCTGTCTGTTTACTGCGGTTCTATCTGTTACTGACGGTTACTGACTGTTACTGACTGTTACTGACTGTTTATGTCTGTTACTGACTGTTTACTGACTGTTAAATGATGTTTACTGACTGTTACTGCTGGTTTACTGTTCTGTTATGACTGTTTACTGTCTGTTACTAGACTGTTTACTGATCTGTTTTACTGACATGTTTAACTGACTGTTAATGAGCTTTAATAAGGTTTCACAGTGTAGTTTTCGTGTTACTATTAATAAGGTTACAAACAACAACGTATACTGGTCATGTTTAAATTAAAGGTGTGTTTAAATACGTTTTGTACTGATGGACCTTTGTGTGTTTATGAGTCTAATATCTTTATCTCATTCAGCGTAAAACGATTAATGAAAGTATTTTTTCACTTTTAAAACTGTCACTAATTTTAATGCTTTAAACACTTTCTGGTGCGAGGCTGTAGCAAACTTTACATGTCTGTTTGTTTTTAAACTTAAAGTAATAGTTATGTTCTGCTGATGAGTTAAGCGGTCCTCATGAGTTTTATTATTAAATGACCTTGCTAATGGAAGTTTCATGTTATTAACAGATATTTGAAAATTTTACTTGACAGATTTAACTATTATTATTTATAGTTTTCTGCAGATGACTTGTTAGCACCATATAAATAATGTGTTTCTTCTTTGTATTTCAACTGAAGATGTAGGCAAAACACAGTGAAACAGGCGTTTCTGTGTTTCTTTGCAGCTTCAGACTTTTACATGTACTTACATCGTAGTGACTGTGCTTTGTAATAGTTTTATAATAATTCGGCTTAATGTTTATCTTATTTATAATACACGGCATCAGATCGCGTATGAAACGTATTAACAAGTTTATAATTTGGTTAAAATCAGCAGCTTTCTGGTGGTTTGTATTGAGCAGGTCAGTGCCTGTGTCGGTAGCAGGTGAGCGGGTCGGTGTGTTGTTCAGTAGGTCGTCGTGCTGCTGTGAGTATTCTGCTTTAATCGAAAATGTAAAGGGAGTCTGGCGACAGGGCTCGAGGCTAAATGCTAACAGCAGGCTCTTAGTGAAGTTAATAGAAGTAACAAGTGAAACAAACAGCAAACAGCAGGAGACAGCGCGGCAGGCAGTTAACCCGGGTTAACTACCCGGTAAGCAGTTGAAGTAACCACCAGCAGCGGATTAAAGGCAGCATGAACTCTTACTGGTAGTGACCGCTAGCGCTAGCGGCTAGCTAATCCCGACGGGGTCGCTCTGGTTACAGCGGTTACTGGACGTTACTCGACGTTATGTCCGTTACTGACCGTTATGACCGTTATGAGCTTGAAACATGTACCAGCAGTTTGTCCTCTACGGGGAACGATCGACAACAACAACACAACACAACACGAAAAAAACAACATAAACTGAACCAGGAAAGTCATCAACGTAAACACCAAGATACAGACACAATAACACAAGATAACAACACAGAGTAAACACACCAGCGTACAACACAGTACACACAGCACTAAACAGCACACACCACACACACAGTACACACCACTCTCTCACACCCAGTAGCACACACACTCTCCTCTCACAGCACACACGCTTGGCACAGCCGTCACACACACACTCTCTCCTCCACACACACCTCTCCTTGCGCCGTTCGGTCCTCACAACACACACACGACCACACACACCACACAGACGGCGACGAAACGTTGTTGAATGTTGAATTTGGATTTAGAAACAATCTCCTCAACTTACGCTCTCAGTCTATTTTCTTCATCCACTTTCCTTATAGTAGATAAATTATTAATTATTAAAATTATGAATTGTGTAAATTGTTTAAGTCAAGTCAACTTTATTGTGAAGTGATGTTATACACTCTATCTAATAGAAATAAATAAAATAAACAATCAACAAACATAAGTAAACAACAATCAGAATTAGGCACTCGGTATTTTAAGGAGGAAATAATAGGATTAAATAATAATATTTAGTAGTGAAATAAAGCAGGGAACGTTGAAGTGTGCAGTCCTGAGTTCAGAGTGTGTAGTGGTGGGGGGGGGTACCTGCATCGCGGATGCTGGTGAGGGCGGTTTTATAAAAGATATATAAGATCTGTTTCCTGCTCTCGTAAAGAATCCCAGATAGAGCTGGGAATACTCTCTGGTGAGCTTCGATATATAAAATACTGTAGCTGGGGATTCAGGTACCAGGGATGCTGATAAGGTTTGGGCTCTTTTATAGCATGCACTTGATGATGTTTCCCAATGCAGGTAGACTAAATTAAGACAGCTTTAGACTTTATTAGTACAACAAGAAATTTTATATATATTTTAATTTTTAGAAGTTTACAGTTTACCAGTCGAATCAAGATATGAGATTGGAATTACAAGTCGCCAGTTTTATGTTGATGCTATTGCGAAACATGTATTAGACTGCCAGAAAATGGGCTCTAGCAGGAACGTCCAAAATAAATAGGCGATTTGGGGATACAGTTATAACTTGAGGCATAGCATTTGTATTTGGATA